CGCCACATCTTAGCATCGTCGGCGAATATTTGCATAGGTGATTGAATGTTGGCAGGGAGGTCGTTGATATAGACTAAAAAGAGTAACGGGCCGAGAACTGATCCTTGCGGTACGCCGCTAGTGACGCATAGGCTATCGGAGTAGGTGTTGGCGATCCTTACCTCGATTCTTCTGTCGTATAAGTAACTTTCCAACCATGTGAGCAAGGATCCGTGGATACCATAGGCCGCAAGCTTTCGGAGAAGTGCTGGGTGATTGACTCTGTCGAATGCCTTAGAAAAGTCTAAGTAAATCACATCTACTGGAACTCCCTCGTCAGCAGCCCTGGTCCATGAGTCCCGAGCAAGTAGTGGATTGGTGAGGCAAGATCGTCCGCGTCTGAATCCATGTTGGAGGTTGGAGATGATTTGTAGACTTTCAAAATATCTCACCATTTCATCAGCGATTATAGACTCCATCACTTTTGATAGAACAGGAAGGAGAGTAATAGGTCGGTAGTTGGCAGGGTCTGACCGCTTACCTCCCTTGTATATCGGAGTGATAAGTCCACGTTTCCACTCGGACGGAAGTGTATGAGAATCAAATAGAAACTGGAAAAAGGTTGCAAGGTGTACTGCCATGGTGGGTGCAAGGGTTTTAAGTACTTTCGGACAGATCTTGTCAATTCCCGGCGCACTATTTTCCCTGAGCGACTGTAATTTCTTTGCCACAGATGTAGGGCTAAAGTTGACCGTGGATAAGCCGACGACATTTGCTGGGATGTAGCAAGGCGATGGTTCCATGGTGTGTCTAGTCACTGAGACAAACTGCATGAGCAATGCGTCCGCGGTCTCCTCTTCAGTAACCGTTAGGCCATTGACCGTCTCTAGTGGTGGTATTCCCGTCTTAACCTTCCTTTTGTCATTCACATACCGGTAGAGCGGTTTGTGATTGCTAGTAAATTTGCGTACCATAGTTTCCTGCCATTCGTACTTGTCAGTTTTAAGGAGTGAAGTGCAGTAGTTTCTGACTGTTTTGTAATGATTCCACGTGATATCACTTGGACCTAGCAAATGACCCCTCCAAGCCTCGTCTCGCCTGTTCAACCACTTACGTGTTCTACTCCGGATCCAGTTGTTGCTCCGTCGCGAAACTCGTAATGGTACGTCTTTTGAAGCTGATTGTAGGACCCAGTTTATCTTGCCTTTCAACACTTGCCAAGCATCATTCGCCGAAGTGTGCATCTGGAGGTCCCAGTCAACGGTTGTCGCTATAGTGTGAAGCTTGGAATAGTTAGTGATGAATCGTCGGGTTTCTGGTTCTTTGTCAACCATACTGGCATAACACACATAATCAAACGTTAGAACTGAATGATCGCTACAACCTAGCGGGGGGTTGTATGAAACCGACTCAACCATTAACTCCTCATTAGTCAGGATTAAATCAAGTATTGAAGGCTTGTTTGAACCGCGGTGTCTGGTTGGTTGATCCACATGGTTATACAAAACTGCCATAGTCAAGAACTCAAGGAGTTTTGATTTGAAGCATGGCCCACTTGGGAACACAGATGCTATTGACGGTGCATTGAAGTCGCCCATTATTAGGTAGTGTGAGTACTTTTTCGACATAGCATACTGGAGAGCATTTAACAGAATATCATCGCTGTCGGCGGAGGAGTTCGGCGGCCTGTAGACAACTGCTAAGAGGCAAGCATCATGTGTCTTCTTCTGAGGACAACCATCGGGACCGGATAGCTGCAGCCGGCAAAATAAGGCGTCGGGGATAATAAGGGAATGCTCAGTGAGAGCTTCACATTTCAGGTGATCTCGGTAGTAGATAGCAACGCCACCACCGCGAGATGGGCGATCATTTCGAATGACTGACATTTCACTAAGTTCAATTTCTGGATCCAAAATCTCGTTTGAGAGCCAGGTTTCAGTTAATGCTATGATGTCCCAAGTTGCTGCTTCATGCCGATGGCGCAATTCCGGCAACTTGGAGTAAAGCCCTTGGGCGTTTGTGTAGCAGCATTGCATTTGTTGCCGCATTAGGAGGTGGGTTCGCTGTGTTTGACCGGCACAAACAGTGCCGGTCTGCCCACGTTTTTTGACACGAGTGTTTGCACGCTTGGCTGGTCTATGGTCGGAAAAGCCAGGTCTGACTCAACTGTACCAGTGGCCTGTACTGCTTGCAGGAATGGTCTCAGTCGTACTTCTGGTGGTCCTAGCCTTCTGCTGTGGTACCACACGTTAATTGCCATTGATGCCATCTCCGGCGTAGCCAAGGTAACTTTCAAAATTTTCGGCCCGCTCCCTTGATAGTTTGGGGAGGAAGCTAAGCGGCTGACGTCGAATGCCACAACATTCTGCATGCCATAGAGTTCTGTGATGTAGCGCCACTCATCAATATCGTGTTTTTGTCTTTCACTGGTGTCGCCATGTTTCAGTTCGGGCACACCATGAACCAACACCACTTTCTTCATTACATTTTGACGAGACGCGGTTGGGTCGGATTTTCGCTTTTGTCTTTCCTTCCATGGCATGTCTGGAAAAATGCGGGCACTGAGAGAAGAGTTCGGTAGACTGTGGCTTGCTAAGAGAACATCCTCCAAGTCCTTTGTGTTGCCAAATGTTACTCGCAGGAACCGAGGTTCCCCTACGTGAGGAGACGATGGGTTTCGTGACAGACGTGTAAGACTAGTTGGGAGAACGTTTAGTCCTAGTGCGCAGCTTATCTCAGTCCAGCGATTTTGCTCTTCGGCTTGTCGACCTTTTAACGACTCGCTGGTGGGTTCTGGTACGTTTGAACATATGACTGTCATCGCTTGTTGGTTGCGTAGTAATTTAGTTTGTTGCAGTCCTTTTTGGGTGGAGGTTTGTCGTGTGGGTGTGTTGGTCTTGTCTTGTGGGGAAGACAAGTCAAGGCTGCAGCAAGATTTCTCCTGTGCAACGACGTTATTCACACAGTTTGTAATGTGCTGCCCAGCTAATAGCGATGATCGTGCAATTTGTGCATAACTCTTTAGGCCTTGCGGTACAACAGAAGATTTTATAGAATTTTCAACTGGCTTGGCATCACTGTTGTTTATCGCTAATGGTGCTTGTTTTTCGCCGGAACGTGTAACATTTTTAATGGATAACTTTGGTCTTTTGGTAGGTCTGGGGTTAGGGCTACTTAATACACTAAGCTGCAACTCGAGTTCAGCGATTTTCCCTCCCAAAGCCTTGACCAATTCTTTTTGTTCGGATGACGCAACAGCCAACATTTCACACCTCGCGTTGAGAGTTCGGATAATCCTGGCTATTGGGCTATCTGAACACGCATCACAGAACCACAAACTATTTGTTATTGCGCTGCGGTTTCCGCCAAGTTCTGAGTTCACGTCCACTTCGTCGTAAGAATTTGCACACAAAGAGCACGTGATTTTTGTGATGACAGTTCTCCGCTTACTTGAGCCATGATTGACCTTCGTTGTTTTGTTCACGCGTGGACCCGCTGATAAACTTCGCCTTCCCATGGCTTAGTGACTCGTATGCACTTTAAATCACGCCGGCTAGCGGTAACCGTCGCTGTCCGGGTTTGGTGGTGATGGGTCCTGGCGCAAGCGTGTATGGAATCACAAACACTTCGTGTGGTAGAGTGCACGAAGGAATATAGATGAAAGGACAAAATAGCCAGTATCTATGGTGTATGGTGGTGCACAGTACTAAGCTATATGTCACCTGATAGCTTTAGAAAAGCTCTGTAGAATGATTTCTTAAATTCACTGAGATTACCTCGAAAAAACAAGCTTTCAAGCGTGGTTCTTAATGTACGAATTGCCGAAGACGCCGGTTGGGATAAAATAGCGAGACGGAGGACTTACTGCGCAAATATAAATCCCGTTCGATAGAACTCGGCGAGCCGAAACGAATGGGCGTATTTCCAAGAATGTAGCACAAAAAATGAACGGAATAATCCAGGATTACCACAGAGCACAGAATTATGCGACCGTCTGTGAGCGTGCGCACCACTCGTGAGCGTGCGCACCACTCGTGAGTGTGCGCACCCGGTCGAATACTTTTGCATATTCAGGAATAATATTTTAACTACATACTATCGTGCAGTTCAACAGAATTAAAATGTTTATACACCTCCAGCCCAAGTTTATTGGGCCTGTACTGTATCGCTAATGAAGTTCCATTAAAATGCAGTAAATTTCGCACTTGGCCCAAGCAGCATTCATATGCATTCGGTCGGATGACGTTCATTTGATCAGTTCCTCTAAAAGATAAGAAATAGCAAACCTCCAAGTGTGACCTTATCTTCACGCTACGAATTTATCCGCATCTGAATTATGACGCAGAATGCGCTATCGGCAGAAGAACGGCAGGATGAACTACTCTATCACAAGCTTGATTCAACTACGGTAGGCAACTGAGGCAATAATTGGTCACAATACAACTACAGACATCATCGAAAGCTGGAGCCCCAGTGGTGAAAGCTCGCGTCAACCTGAACGATATTGTAATTCGATGGCTAACAGGTACCCCAATGTGAAACACAATGTCGAAGAAGGTATTGTTCACAAGCGTACTTCTTTCTTCAGCGTCCAGAATGATATGACCGTTCACTAAGCATGATCAGCGATAGAGTTTGATGTGTTGATTAACAGTCACCGCGACGAGACTGGACCTTAACGTGGTACGATGGTATGTGTGCCTCAGTGATCCAATGAGCTACGCTGGTTGGTGCTGTTTCCACCTTCAGAGCCACTCATACCAGATTAGCCAATGGTTAGAGGCTAGACAAACCCAATCTCCTGGTCATCCAGGTTGGAGGTTGGAGGGTGGGTGGCTCCTTACTCCATAAAGCGGAGTCAGTGTAGTCCAATGCCAAAACCCCGCTGTCTTGCAGTAAGTTTTTTGAACCAAAAACTCCGGTTGATAACTCCAATCGTTTTCCTGTTTGGGTCTGGCATAGTTGAAATGCAGGGTTGATCGTGCACGCGCGTCTGTCCTATCGGTGCGTGCTGTTCGTCCATGGTAAGTAGCTATGCATATTCTACTGGAATTTCGGTTGATAGTGAACGATGTTTCTTCCGTATATTAGCGTATATTTCGTTGTTTTCGACCCTTACTTAATCTCAATCCCATGCCTATTCCAATATAGGAGGCCTTTGTGAAGGAACGTGATTTCCTGAAATGTGTACTGGATCTGTGTGATCCAACTGGACATATTTCAATCCATTCTGGGATCGTATGCAGCAGCTCTTCGGATAATGCTTTACCGATGGAAGAGATGAAACTACAACTCTCCGTCATGGACAGGACTCTAAACTACCTATCCCAAGTGACCGTGAGTGCCCAGTGATCCTTCGAGTAATGCGCACACCTAGCTACCGCTACTCCCCTACACAATACGTGGTAACAGGCATCCAAACTTAACGGTGAACTTTAATCAGTCCGTGCGGCGTTGCAGGCAGATAGAGACGATGAGTTACCTTGGGTAGACAAGCAAATGCCTTGTATGTCTTGGTGAACGACTAAGGGGAGAGTTCCTTGTAATAAATCCACTACACACAATGTTTCTAACAGAGGAAACAGCGTGAGTACTAGAGAGTAGTAGGGGGAGTTATTGTTTTGTTGAATCGTACAGGCAGCTAGATAGCCACTACACCTTTAGGAAGTCGTGGCTCTGGGGGCCAGCTTTATCCTCTGCATCTTCATACCATGCATGGCGGTGGATTATGAGTCGTGCTATATCTCAGTTAGATATCAGTCATGACAGTCAGCCGTCGCCAATCATGGTTAAGTGGCACTAGTCGTTGACCTGCAAGAGTAAGGTCGTGAGCTCGAATCAGAGAAAATCGGCGGATGCGCGCTACTGACGAGTCCCAGTAGGACGAAATGGTGCTTTCTTGGACATGTAGTGGCTGGTTAGCTGAGTCTAGCTGCAACAAATCACAAAAGCGTGATTACTGTCGTGCAATGAACGTATAATATTCACTAGTTAGCGCTAACACTGCATAGAAGTTCCTGATTGGCCCTAAAGACTCAGTGGGGGAAGACATTCCTAGAGCTGAAATGACTGTCGTAGGTGGCTAACTTTGCGTATCATCTAGCACAAGGCATTATGCATAGCCTTAGGCTGAGACACTTCTGAAATAACCATCACATGGGTGTTGTGGTGACTTGTGGTGAGTCTGAAACATCTCATTTATTTCAAATCCACTCTCCCAGTCTATTGTGGCCTTGGATATACTTATGCCGTCCATTTGTCTGATTGACGGTAAATTCCCTTTACCTGTTTCGGTCTTGTGCATTGCGCTCTACGTTTCCTCTCTTCTCTCTCTCTCTCTTGCTGAGCTACCCTACTTACTTCGTAGGCCTTTACAACGCACGTTGGGTAAAGCGGTCCCACTCTTCTTCATATTTCGTATTTCTCACATTTCTACTGTATCATTATGGATGACTAATAATCGAGCGACACCTTACAAACGTCTTGGTTTCACAAAAACGTCAAAAGCGATGCTCTTTTCAACCTCTAATTCTGCCATCCTGTTCTCATGACATAGTCGCGCAACGCCTTATCGGTGACAGCCTAATCATGTGGCAATTAGATCCGTTCCTCCCAGCAGATATTGTCACCACGTCACTGACTGCGTTATCCTCTCAGTGATATCACCATCGGGTTTTACCTCAGTTACCCTACCAATCACGTCTACCATCATCACGTAGTAATTCCGACAGCGCCCGATCAGGAGGCTAATATTGTTACAAATACCAAGGTTTGCAGCCCATATGCGGCATTCGCTTAGCGTCGGTAAGTGTTTTGCTGAAGGTCGCCGTCCTTTTTTCGAGTGGAGTCACGGGTAGTCGTGCGGTGTTCGTGTCGGTATAGCAAGGTGGAAACCATTTGGGGAGTAACACTCACACGACATACCAATGCAGATTCGATCAGATACTCTCCCGCACGGAGCACAGTTCACAAGAGCCGAATGTTTCGAGCCGATTAAATGATTGTACTAAGCCTAGGTGATGCAATGAAAGCTACGACGGTTACAAGAGCGCGTAAAGCTTGGAAACGAGTTATGCTTAGGTATTAGCGAGAGCGATCAGTCCAGATTACTTGTCTCGAAACCTTAAATGTGAAACATTTATTTTCTACCCTAGAAACGGGTCATTTTGGAGTACAAGTTGTGTGGATGGATTGCGACACGCAAACTCAATGTGGACAGTGATTCGCAATGAACGGAATCTTGGTCCAATACGATCACGGGACCGTAACTGATGAAACAATGAATATTGGATTAGAGGTGGTTCGATGTTTCTCCTCTCAATACCATAACCCCATAACCGGACTGCGTGTCGCAATCCAACCTTACAACGGAGACTCTAAACCCAAATTTGAATTCCTTACCGCTGTGCAAAGCGTTGCTCACAGACTTTAGAGCCATATTGATCAGCCTTTAACTACTAGGCCCCGATTTCCACTCCAGCTCAGGTTGTCCCTACCTGATGAGTGCAAACGAAAATGAAGCCGGTTATGGGGTGTCAGTATTGGAACGAACAACACCGAACTACCTCCAATTCGGATACGGTCCTTGTGATCGTAACGACCGATGTCTAATTCAAAGTGAATCGAGGTCTGAATAGAGATTCGTGTCGCAATACAAGCGCACAGCGCACACGCCAAATCCAACCATGAATATTGGACGTTGTATATTTCTCGCCGGTGTAATAAGCTGTTCCCTAAAGGAGACATATCTAAAGGTTCTACAGTTATTTTCTTGCCATCACATAATAATATAAAATATTGTTACAAATTTGATGCTTGTGTGAGTGGCAAGGAAATCCGAATTAATGGCTGATTGTTCGACATAATGATGAATCAATGCTATTCACAAACACATGGCTGATGTTCTAGGCGGGAAAAGTGCTGTGGGCCAGATATTGAGATGTGGATATTCATCTAGAATGGATGCATAAATTGTCAATTTTGTTAGGCGCGATTGACATCGTTTTCGAAAAAGCCAAACGGGGATTGTGGTGTCCCAAACAGTAGTTGCGTTTGCATGGTCGAACGCCAATTAATCGCAGGCTTAATTTTATGCAGTGTACAGCATGCCCTGATATATCTTGGAAATATGTCCCCGATCTTAGAATAGTGGATTGGGAAAAACTATTCTCTGATTTTCGTGGTGAACTTCGGAATCGTGACCTTTAACTCCTTGTTGCATATCCGTTACCTAGTGCTTAAAGCGATGTGAACGTCGTCATTAGAACTGTGCGCATAATGGTTTACGATTTCTGACTTCTGGTTCGAAGCGGCGAGTAGACCTTGCTCTGTGTAGCTGCATCGTTCGTCGGTCTTGGACATATACTCCTTATTCATCGTTCCGCTCTCTGTATTTTGCCTCTGCAAAGTGTTTGTCTAGGAGCTTCTTAAATTCGGACACAGTTCGCCTCTACTATGTGCTGCGGCAGGTCGTTCCAGACATTCACCACTCTGCGTTCGAAACAGTGTTGGTGAGCGACCCGCTTCAAATCCGGTACGAAATGTTTATACCGGTGTCCTCGCGGGCTGCTTGGTCTGCGCAGATGAAGCAGTGGTCTCAACATGGGGTAATCACCCAGATGCATTATCCGGTGCGTCATGATGAGGTCAACCCCCATTCGACGGTAAGCTAGGGTGTACAGCCCTAGTTTCTTACATCGGTCTTCGTATGGCACTCCTCTTAACTTGGGAATCAACCTGGTGGCTACATGCTGTACACGCCCAAGCTTTTCTATCTCGCCTCAGCTGATCGGACAATACGCAGGAGAACCGTGCTCTAGCATTGGTCGTATTATTGAGACGAAGAGGCGAGTGGCAATCTCTTCGGACCAAGTGCTGAAGCTGCGCCTGAGCGCCCAAAACATCCGAAGACTGTTTTGGTAAATCTTATTTGTGCTGTCCAAGAACTTTAGATCGTATCGTGAGAGTACACCGAGGTCGCGCACGAAAGGCGCGGGATGCAACGGTTGACCAACCACCGTGTAGGTCCGGCTGTGCTCACACTTATCCAGCCTCATGAATTGCGACTTGACCTGGTTGACCGGAAGGTTGACGTCTGCAGACCACGTGGAGAGGCGGTCGAGATCCTGCTAAAGTAAATCACAATCATTGGATGTTCGGATTACTCCACACCTTCAAATCAGCTGCGAACAACGCACAAGGTGATTGGAGTAGCTGAGGCACATCGTTTACATGGATCAGAAACAATATCGGCCTCAGTACAGTGCCTTGGGGCACGCCGCTGCTTAATGGATACCAGTCGGGGAAATAGTTGTCAAACTGGACCCTCCAGTTTCGATCAACAAGGAAATTCCTGATCCATTGGTGCAGCGAACCATCAACTCCGCATACCCTCAGCCTGTCGAGGAGCACTGCATGATTTACCCTGTCAAAAGCCTTACTGAAGTCAATGTAAATGACGTCGATTGATTTACCTTGGTTCAGCGCTTGTAACCATTCGTGCCTCGTCAACAGTAGGTTGGTGATGCACGAGCGGCCTTTCACGAAACCATGCTGTGCGGGCGTCAAGAGGCTTTTCGACTCGAGAAGCTGCAGAACGCTCTTCTTCACCACCTTCTCGAGCCTCTTTGCCAAAACTGCGGTCAGGCAGATCAGCCGGTAGTTATCCACTTTGCTTGGGTTACCACCTTTCGGGATTGGCTTTACGACTGAGCATTTTCAGTCGCCCGGTAATAGTCCAGTGGATAGTGACCTGTTGAACAGCTCAGTTACCGAGGGCGCGATGATGGCCGTTAGGGACTTGAGGATTCTGAAAAGGAAGCACAAGTTCAGGTCCATCCTCCAAAGACAGACTGGATTAAGTCTAAGCTTAAATCAACATCTATGTATATGATTTATGAGGAATAACCGTATATCTTTTCGTGAAGCGTCACTGGACTTTGAAAAAAGTGCATGCCGGTCTGATTATCGCAGATTGATGGAACGGACGAATAATGTCCCATACTGTAATATGTATGCTTCATAGAGCCAGACGCGAGATTCAGTGAGATAAAAGCGATGGCATATGTATCCAATAGACGTCATGGCCTTTGAAACTTGAAAATCCTGATGTTCGGAAAAGTTAAAGCTGACAGAATATCGTACACACAAGTCGCAAACTGGTAGCAAACTACTTCTGTATATCATTACACAATCAAGAAAAATATGACAGAATCGTTAGTAGTGAACAGCCTTCTTGGTCGCAGGTATCATGTCATAAGGTTGGTCCTCTATACCAGTAACGCATGTGCATGCCGGGTAGATACTGAGGAAGCTGAGGTCAATAAACATTACCATTTGCCTAATTGCATCACCAACCAGTTAGCCACATCTAGTTGAATAACTCCTTAAGACGTGGACGGTTTCTGTGTTGCTCTCTCCTATCGCTGCACTCCATGACCGACGGTTTCGTCGTGATTTGGACTCGCAAGGTTAGCTTGATCTGGGAGTGAA